GGGGGGGGGGGGGGGGGGATGAATTTAAGATCTACAATAGTTAGATTCCATACATGGAGAATTATAGTAAACTTATACATATTCTGTGTAGAATCTAATTATTGGGAGGGGTCATCTTAAATTCAGGGTCATCTTATATTTGGGCAAGTACAGTAATCATGGCTATACGTGGTAGAAAGTACTCAGAACTGCTTTTCTCGTAATGATTTATGTACCGAAATGGTGCTAGCAGGTCTTTAACATGTATTCCAGAATGCATTCAAATCTGAAAAAAGAGGGCAATTGATAAATAGCTTTAAAAATCTTAACAAGCCTATTTCCTTTGTTTAGGATGAAACATTCCCTACCAAACTGCAGCCAGGTTTGGATGTCTTAGTAGATGTAGATGCTGCATATGTACCACTGTGCAATGGATTTAAAAAACAAATGAACATGTCTTGTAGAAAGAGAATACCGAAATGAAAGAATAAAATCAAAGTGACTTAGAAGAACGTCCAGAAAAAACCCAGACCAGCTTCTGAGTTCAAATTGCCCCACATATATAAAATTAAACTTGTACATTATACCCTGTATTATGAGATGATAATATTCTCCTTGATCTCTGGACTAGTTAATGACAAAGCTTGATTCTGAATGCTCACTCTAATTTTATTGAAATTATTGCTCTTGCCAGGCAGCAAAGCCATCTCTGTATGTTAAAGGTATGGCAATTCTGTATTTTTTTGACGTTGAAAATACTCATTAACAGTTCTCGTTCCCATAATTCTTGTAAGACTACTACAGTAAAAAGTTGTTATGAACTTCGTAAATTGCAGTAAATTAAATGGAAAGTTTCATGCTGTGGCTCTAGTCTTTTCTCCTTGTTTTTTTTATCCGCTTGGATAACTTTTCCCTGGTAAATGCCTTGAGAGCCACAAGTCTGCCTCTAGCTACTGAATCTTTAAACTCTGTATTTGAGTTGCTTATCTAAGTACTTTCCCCTCTCCTCTTTTTTTTCTCTCCCAACCTACCAGGACTGTGAAAATGAGCCTGCGGAAGCAAACCCCTAGTGACTTCTTAAAACAAATAATAGGAAGGCCAGTTGTTGTAAAGTTAAATTCTGGAGTGGACTATCGAGGTAAGTCTTTCTTTCACTCCTACAATAAACAAGTAATATTTAGTCTTATTGTTGATGAGAGAAAAAGAAATATAGTCTGTTACTTAAAAAAAAGAAAAAACAAGATAATGCCGTAATTTAGACGGGCAAAAAAACCTTTGCGGCAAGGTTAAATTCTTGGCAATTTGTTTGTTCTCTGGGGTAATGTGGTATGTTGGCCTTCCTCAAAATAGAATTGCTCCTATAGTAGTTGCTACTTATGTTAGATTCTGACAGTTGTGTTGTAATGGTGCAATTTCCTTACAATGACAGTGTATCTCGGTAATAATTAGGTTTGAGAGAGAGTGGGTAATAGTTCAGTGATTTGAAGGTACTGGTTGAGGTCTAAATTCAGAAAAGCGTGTAAGTGTGAGTTGCTCTGTTGATAGAACTGGTCTTGCCATGCAGAGCCTTGAAAAAATCACGTGACTGAGATTCATGTGACCAAGATTGAAATCTGTGTGATTATTCACATACTTAGTCAAGCAGAGACAATATTTCTTTTTTGTTCTTAAATTGAGGGTTCACTTCAGTGTTTTGGAAAAATCCCACTGAGTTAGGAGCAAATGGCCCAGTGACTTCCAGTGGGATTCCTGTTTCTTCATCCCTTAACATGCTTTTTAAAAACCTATAGCTGGTCCTTGACCTACCTGTATGAGCTACAGGGTTATGGCTTCCTTTTGTGGAAAGTAGATCTTTTAATGGTGTAGCATCTCAGTCTCACCTCTGCAAGTTTAGATTTGCCAGCTCCACCTTTCCTGGAAGTAATGTCATCAGTTAAATGCCTGAAATCAAAATAGCCTGACGAAGGGTTTTTGAACCCGAAAGCTTGCTTAATAAATATTCTCCAACTATTTGGGTTGGTCTAATAAAAGATATCAGATTCACCCAAGGAACCTTGTCTGCCTGAAATCAAAATACACATTTCAGATGTCTCCATTTCTTCCTGTATTAGGTGTTTTATTCAGTACTTCAGATATTTAAACATTATAGGCCTAATGCACATTGCCACTCTTTATGAAGCTGTTACTTCACAGGCTTCAGTTTACAGAACAGGAGGCATACTGTGGTGTCAAAAACTGTGTGAGATCAGTGATTGAGTACAATGCATGAAATATTCATGTGCAGCCTGAGCTGTGACCTGTTCTTGTCACTTCAGGTGACACGTTTTGCCACCTTTACCTTCTGGAACAGCAAGGATTAACCAATCTCAGATTGGCTTGTTGGAATCGTCTCCTTTGTTTCCTAGTGGTGTTTGGCACTTGTACCCCTTTTTCCTCTAGGAGCCTGTAACAGGCCCCTTAAAATGATCCAGAGATGTTTCTTCAAAACAACACTTCTGTTTATTTGAAGGTACATAACACTCAGAGAACCAGATGAAAACAAATATCTGCATACATTTCCAGTTGCCTACAATTTAATGTTTCCTTGCAAGCTTTTTTAAGTACCACTGGCTGCATCCAGATGAGCATGGACATTTGGTTCCTTGGGGACGAGTAGCGGCGGTGCACCTTGCACCACCATGACTTATCCCTGGGGAATGCCCATGCCACGCGTGCTTTGGTACATGGCAAGGTGGCGGTACAGGAGGCTGGGTGGGGTGGGGTGCAGGAGGCTGGGGCCAGCACTTGGCTGGCTCCAGCAGCCTTACCTGGGGGTCTCCTGGGGCTGCAGCAGCGGCAATTCTGCTGCACAGAGCCTGGCTGGCAGCTGCAGTGTGGCTCTGAGCAGCCCGGCTTTGCTTTTGAATGGCATGCACTGCCTGTGCATGCACTGCTCTGCTCTTTTTCCCCATGGGTTTTTTGTGGGTTTTTTGACCCCTGGATATCCAAGGGTCAAAAAAATCGGCGGGGGGAAAAAATATCGGAGCATCACACACATGGGCAGTACTCCCTTGCAGCATGAAGAACATCAGAATGTGTAGTATGTGGTGCTGCAGATGCATTTGTGGCACCACGTACCACATGGCCATGCTTGTCTGGACATGACCTCTGAGTCTATCCCTGGCCTGCTGGAAATGGACCAAACTTCTGTAGCTTGTTTTCTGGGGTTGGAGCTGTGTTGTAGTTGCTGTGGTGGTCCATGAAATATGTGCAAAGCAAGGCTTTTTAATTTTGATGACTTCTTTTATTGAACCAACTGTATAAAGTTAGGGGAGATTTTAGATAATCATTGGTTCTGTATCTCCCACCAGATTCATCGCCAACTGCTGTTTACAAACTCCCTCTGCTTCCTTTTCTAGACCAGATTCTTTAATGGTTCGATATCCCCTTAGGCCTGACTCTAAGATTTAAGAAGCATAAACTATTGTTCACTTCAGGAGTCTTATCCTTTTGTTTCCTGTTCGCTTCCCTTTGATTTAATGCTACCCAGTCATGCAGGTTATATACACGCAGATTACCTGTTTTATCCCTATAAAAAATACACAACTCCCTCATTCCCACACTAATTCAAGCTGTATTTTTTCTAAAACTTAAAAAAAAATGGAATTCAGGCTCTTGTAATATTCTGTCTATTTCTGCTTCTAGACAGTGTTGCTAATTGTATGTTGTTTCGCAAATGTGGCTGTGTAACTGCAGAATATCTTGATTTGTTGCCAGATCAATGTGCATGTTTAAGGAGAGAGGGCTTGAAAATGCACAATTGTAATTGGTACATTTTAACTGCATGACTTGCATGCCTGTACTCATGTGAGCATGTATGGAAAACTTCATACTCAGCATGCAAGCAAGGCTGGGTAACAGTGACACTTAATGCCAGTTGTGGCATTAGAAGAGAGAAAATACAAAGGGAAGGGGAAAGGAGAGAAGTAAACAAGTCTGAATTCACAGCCTCTTTTGTTCTGGGGGTGCAAATGCTACTGTTTAGTATCTGCTGAGTGATACCTTTGAGAGAGACTGTCCACTTAAGCCTAATTTTTCTGGGAACTATTTTTCCCTAAGATTATTAAACTAAAAGAAGACAACTGGAATAAAAGGAGTTCTGACTTCCATTTTGTTCATTTAAAGCCTTTTGTGCATAACCAGTCAAGTTCTCCTGTTTGTGCAGAAACAGAGGAAAGAAAAACACGGGAAAATATGATCTTAAAACCATAAAAGTTGGCAGGAGACTTTAAATTCCCAATTATTTAATGGAAGGTCTTGCAGTAACGTGGCTGAGAAGTGAGAATGTGTCCTAGAGGAGAGTCCTCTGCCCAGATATTTTTCCACATTACTATTTTATAGGGCAGTTATGCAATTAAATTATAATTATTTTAGCTTGTGCTAGACCCAAGAAGTGCTGGGTATCATCCAAACAGAGAGGAACGTATGGTTCCAATTCTAAAGACATTATCATCCAAAAAGGCAAAGATGAGATTTAGATAACAAAGATACAAGAACCTCAGGGTGGGAAGGTTAAGGTGACCTTTTTACTACTTCCCTTAGTGTGTGCAGTTAAAAATTACATTTTTCCAATTATTCCCAAGCTACAGTTCAGGCCTCTTTTGTTTGTGTGTGCATGTATATATTTTTGCTCTTGTTATTCTTAACATTCAGTTCATTCCCTCTACATAATTGAATTATTTGTTCATCAGGTAAATAATGAATAGAGCACTATGGCCCTTCTTCTCTTCCATAATTCCCTCATAGAAGTGAACCCCTCTTGTAGGACCCAGGCCAGTGTTATAGAAAAAAAACACTGAACTGGAAGGGGCCTCAGGAGGTCATCTAGTCCAGGGTTGTTTGACCCTGGCCCAAATCTATCACCTGTCACTGTCATCCTGCTTGCAGCCCTCCCCCAAGTCCATGGAGAGCCCTGCAGGCCATGGCCCTGAGAGCTAGATTGGGCATGCATGGTGGCATGGGCTCCAGTACCAGTGGGTGGGCTATGATCTGACTCTGTGCCGCCCATGGGGCCCAATGGTTGAGTGCCATTGATCTAGGCCCCTGAAAGGCAGGATTGTCCCTGATGAACTTTAGTCAAGAGCTTGTCTAACCTATTAAAATGCCCAAGGACTGAGGTTCTGCAACCTCTCTTAAGTAATTTTTTCCAATGACTAACAGCCCTCTTAGTAAGAAAGTTCTTCCTGATATCCAATCTAAATTTTACTGAAATTTGAGACGGTTACTCTTAGTCCTGTCCCTTGCAGCCACAAACAGTCTATCTTTTTATCCTCTTTATAACCACCCTGTAGATCAGGGGTTCTCAAACTGAGCAATTTAAAAGGGAGCCGCAAACTTCTCAGGGGATACGGTGGGGAAGCGGTGCACGGCGGCGATGTGCAGGGGTGCATGGAGGTGGCTGATGTGTGTGAACTCCCCGTCCCCCACCACCACCATCCAGCACTCGGAGTCGCAGTAGCACAAAGTTTAAGAACCCCTGCTCTAGTTATTTGAGGATTTATCAGATTCTCCTCAGTCTTCTCTTCTCTAGACTAAATAATCTCAGTTCTTTCAGCCTTTCTTTGCAAGCCATGTTTCCTGTAAGTCATGTTTCCCATCTTTACTGCTGCTTTCAGTTGGACTCTAACCAGTCCACATCTTACTTGAAGTGCAGGGCCAAAAATTGGAGTGGTAATCCAGATGAGGCCTCACCAATACTGAATAGATTAGAAGGATCATTTCCTTTGATTTGCAAGTGAGGTTCCTGCTAATACAACCCAGTATGCTGTTGACTTTTTTGGCAACAAAAGTATCCTATTGGCTCATTCATTTTATGGTCCATTAACCCCCAAGTCTCTTTCTGCAGGACTGCAGCTTCACCAGTCATCCCCCAGTCTGTATTTGTGTATAAAATTGTTTCATCCTAAGTACAGGACTTTGCACATGTCTTTGTTGAATTTCATTTAATTGATTCCATTTTATCAAGGTCATTCTGAATTATAGCCCTGCTCTCCAAAGTGTCTGCAACTCCACTAACTTGGTATCATCTGCAGATTTGCTAAGCGTGTACTCAGTCCCATCCTATTTATTAATGAAGATACTGAATAATACCAGACCCAGGACAGACCTCTGAAAAACCCCACTCAGTGTCCAGTTGGGATGATACATTGATGACTACTTGAGGATAATGATCCAACAAGTTATACATCCGTAAACATGCATCCTTAGCCATTCCTCTGTTATGGCTATGCGAATCACAAAAGAAGTCTGATGTAAGGAGAGAATTAAGGTGTGATTATTGTAACATAACAGTCGGCTCAGGTAATGCATTCGGTAAACAGCAGAATGTGAGAGAGTGTGACGGAAATGGGGACTGGGCTGGAAGGAGGAATAGGATTTTTTTCCCTTTAAATCTTTTGACTCTAGTGTTCATTTGCCTAAACACAAGAAAAGTTACTAATGGGCAGACTCATTAATCTAAACTGTGTAATACTGTCTGTGAGAATTGATATGTAAAACTTTTTTTTCAAAATAGTTTCAGTTGAAAAATGGTGCAAAATGGGCATCTTTGTTTTGTTTTGTTTAAACCTGGTATACTCCGATACCCTATATCAGATTGATTACCCTTTGGATACATCTCCAAGGCATCATTCCGATGAAAAACTGAACCTCTTTTATAACCTTCCTCTCTGTTTATCTAGTTGCAGCTGAAGTTCCATTTTAAGATACATAGGTTCCACTTTAGCATGCCACTTTTTGGTAGACATGGTTCTTTGGGTAAATCCAATGTCTTTTATTAGACCAACTCAAATAGCTGGAAAAAATCTTCTTTGCAAGCTTTCGGGTACAAACAGCCTTCATCAGGCTGAGCCTGAAAGCTTGCAAAGAAGAATTTTTCTAACTATTTCAGTTGGTCTAAAAAGATATCAGATTGACTCAAAGAACCTTGTCTGCCTATGTCCTTAGACCAACATGGCTACAACTTATACCCCTGAAACTTTTTGGTAGTGCTTCTGTTCATTTACATATTATCAGCTTTCAAAGCAGAAGTCATTGACTGAATAGCTAGCTGCTACTCTATGAGTGATAAGGTTGGTGACCATTATTCATTGTTCGTGGTTGACCTTTTTTTTTAATTGGCTGAGAATAGGCTGCATGTATATGTCATTTTTCATCTATGTATAGCGTGGTGTTGTACAGAAGTATTCCGTATCACTATCCCATTTTACAGATGGAGAAACTGAGGCATAGTGATTAAGTGACTTGTCCAAAGTCACCCAACAGATCAGTGACAGAACAGGGACTAGAACCTGGGTGTCCTGGGTTTCAGTCTAGTGCCTAGTTTGATAGGTCTAATCAGATTATTTTCTCTACAGAGAAAAATTGGGTTTTAGTGTGGTCTGTTCAGTGAACAAGACAATCGGATTCACAGTTCACTATGTAATTTTGAAATCTAATCTGTTTTAAATATTTTTTTAAATGGTTTTTATTGTCTCCAGGTGTCCTGGCTTGTCTGGATGGGTATATGAATATAGCTTTGGAACAGACGGAAGAATATGTAAATGGACAGTTAAAGAACAAGTATGGGGATGCATTTATCCGAGGAAACAATGGTAACTCTTCCCTGGAATACTCTGAATTAGAAAATCTATTTTTTATATTTGCAATTTTGAATCTGAGGCATCTGTAAGGACAAAATTAGGTGTTTCTTGTCTGTAGCCACATTGACATTCTTATGTTAAAAGCCTGTGTGATTTCCTCCCCTCCCCCCCCCCCCCCCCCCCCCCTTACCTGGTGTGTGTGTGTTCAGTTCCTAATTTCCCTTTTTACAGATCCAAGTTGGATTTTTCCATTGCTTGGCTTTGTGTTTTAATTTATATATGCAATAGCATGAGGATGAGTGGGTGAACAGGGTGCAAACCCTGGGCACTGGTTAAAGGGTGGAGGGGGGTGTGTCTTGCCCTTCTGTCCCTCACTCTCCCTCTTCCTGCAGCTTTCCAGTTTCTGCTCCAGAAGTGGTGAAGGAGGATGCAAGTGAGGGAAGGGCATCCTGGGAAATGTAGTCCTATTGAGTGGCAGCAGGCAAGGCAGGAAGAACAGCTGGAATTTACCCTACTTGGAGGGGGGAACCTTTTTTTTGTTACTTAAAACAGTCAGCAAAAGAGGTGACTTCTCTCAGCAGCAGTGAACTCAGTCTGGTTCTCTTGTGCCACAGCCTGCTGCCAGGGGCTCTAACTCGAGAGGCCCTGCAAAAAAGGTACAGGAGGTTGGTGAAGGGTGGACAGTGAGGGCTGTCCTGGGTGCAGTGCTGGCCAGTTACACCTCTGTGTGCATGTTTTGAATTCTTGGAAGAGAGCCCTTTCTTTCCTGTCCCCTTGGAAAACCTGCATTTTTGATTTTGTTCACACAACCAGCAGCACTTTCCTCACCAGTTCTACTCCTGTACTTTTTGTCTGTCCAAGTATCTCCTGCAGAACAGTTTACCATGTCTTGCTCAATTAGCACTGTATAAACTTATGGTGTTATATAGATGCAGATAGTACTGCTCCATCCTCTTGTATGGTTATCTAGATCTGAGTGCTGGCTACCTTTGCTGTCGTGAAGTTCCTTAATACTTAAAAATGTGCTTGCAGATAGAGATGTTAACATCAGTCAGGAAGATGACAATAATTATTAACACTAATACTTTATATTTGTGCTGGGTGGAGTGTAAGATAGATATACATGTGTGTGTATGTATGTGTATATATCTAGATAGATATAATTTTTTTCTTTTAGTTTGGTTCAAGGGAAGTTAAGGTCATAACTTCAGAACAGGGCAGGTTTGTGAAAGCTCTGAGAGAAAAGGTTAAGCAGGGAAATGAGATCGCAGTTTGACAACATGTGAAATATTTCATAATTAACCATACTGGGCACCCAAGATGTAACTACCATAAATTCCTCCACCTCGGGGTAAACCATTTTCTAAAAGGTAGTGAGCAACATAGCATTATCTTGGTACTGGCTAAGTGGATGGAATGTGTCATAATTGTCATAATTTTTTTGTAATGAACTTTGCAATAATGTTTAGTTGAGAAAGTGGGAATCCTGAACTGTTTGTTGGAAGAGCATGTTATTTCTGACATCCTTAATCTCAGCATCCTAAAAGCCGGTTGCACTTTCCTGTCCATGTCATTGTAGATAAGACAAAGGAGATTGTTCCAGAAACCAATCCCATAGAGTTCCTCTCTGTAGTCAGGGTTCGTTGTGTGTAGTTACAGAAATGAAGCTACATATTTATTGCGAAAAAGTGGCATATTAAATATTACATAGGTGTAACTTAATTTTTAATATTGCTGTTGGAACCTTAACTTTTACATTTCCTGATTTCTCCTATAAAAACTAACTTTGGTTTGGTGTTGAATGGGATTCTTTACATCTTTATTTAACTGGTGGGATGAAAATGGGCTGTTCTGGGTAAACAGATTGCTGCACCTTGTTTACTAGAATTCTGAAACGTGTTCCACTTCTTCCTTTTCACAGTTCTGTACATAAGCACACAGAAGAGGAGGATGTGAAGATGCCAAAAAAAGGATATTTTGTACTGCAGAACTTGTTTTTTTTCCCCCTGAATGATGAGACCTGTTTGATTTGTAGCTAGTTCTCTTTGGTTGAAAAATACAGCTGTTTAAATATTTCTTTATGTGCTGTGAAGCCAGATATACCACAGTGACTACTACCGGAAGGATGTTGCTTTTTTTTTTTTTTTAAATGCAAAGAAATACAATTGCATGTTTTTCTGGGTGCCTGATTTTTGAAGAAATGTTTTGTTCCACTGTGAACAAAGTGAAAAAAGTGTGTAAGGGTGGGGTAGAGCATGGAGAATATTTATTGCTGCAGTATTAAGTGAATGGAACATTTGGTTTAGTTGCAGTTTGAGAATAACCGTGCATTATAATCTGGTTGCATTGGCAAAATTACCTCCTCAGTTCCTCCCAGCTAAATGTGAATGCCTTGGTGAAAATAACCTGTCCCTTGAAAGAGGGGGAATAAGGTCAGGTTTAAATTCCAAGCTACATTAAGAATCAGCAGGGTAAAAAGTTCAGCTGCTGACTGGTTAAATTAGCCAAAAAAAGCCCCCTTGAATTGTGTATTTGAATCAGGGGATGTAACCGTTGACACTTCAACAATGGGGG